CATAAATGTAAAGCAAACAAGTCAAACAATGAAAGCATATAAAGGTGATCTAGTCTCTAAGGTAACCCCATTTTTGCTTTCGATTGTTTCCTCTTTTTTTTTTTGACTTTCTTATTATTTCGCTGTTGTTTTTCTTTTGCAGTTCTTTATTTTTCTTTTATCTTATTTCCGAACACTTCTTGTGCTTCTTCTTTTATCTTGTTTCCGATCACTTCTATGTGTTTCATTGTTTTCAAAAATACTCTATTTGCTTCTTTAATATATTATATTTATCATTAAAAAAATTGGTTTTTTTTTAATTAGAAGATGTAATATACTCTCTCTATTTCAAAATAATTGTCTTACCAACCTCAAAAAATTGTCAATAGTATATTTATGTTTACAATACAATTATAATTAATTTTTATCAATTTTATCACTTATTTAAACTCTTTTCAAATATGACAACATATTGCGACCAATAATAATAAATGATAATTTTATAAAAATGTTCCTTTTATAAACTCCATCGTTGCTTTTGAGAAGGAGGGAGTACTTTAAGATGCATCATCATGAAATGGGCGTATTAAAATAAGTGTGACCATGGATTTTCCCCCTTAATATAATACACATCCATGAACCAAAATAGAAGCTAAAGTTAAAAAAAAATCTACAAAATATACGTACACGCATAAAATAATACTACAATAATAACAATATAATAGTAAAAAATAAACCAAGTTGTGCAATTGGAATGGTGTTGGAATATGGGGAAATTAAAATACTCAAACGGGTCCACATGAAAAAGACAAGTGTTCAAGTACGTGCCCAGGTTCATGCATGCTTTCAACTTCAACGATAACTGGCCCATTCCATCAATGAACTTAACAATTCTCTACCATTCCAATTCCTCAATCCATTTTAACTTTTCATATCTACCTGCAACAATTCAATATTCATACGTCTTTACAAAAGCAAAATATTTTCCTGTTATAAAGTTGTTAAACGTTCTCTCTCAGTGCGTGCAAATAACGTTCAAACAAACTTTATTATTCTGTCACCTTTTTCTACACCAAACTTTATATTCAAAACTTTGTCTATTTGTTTTTTTTTTTAAGAATAACAACTTTATATAATGAAGTAATAATGACTCATGTCGCATATATAACATTATCAAAGTAAAAAACGATTATTTCTTTTCCATTATTCTGTTATATACTAGTACTTATTATCTTAATAGGTGTATTAGATTTGAAACTAGATAGATACATGGAAGCAAACATCAAAATGAACACACTGAAAGAAATAAACTAATCTGTGTAACATGTTTTTCTTCTTATGTATGATGATGTTTCTGGAAAATTGTAGCGCAATGAAGTGCGAAAGAGTACTGTGTTCTATAATTTCTAACAAGAACAAGAATGTGACTTGAAATATAAGTTTAAATTAATTACTAGATGCTGTAGTGTTTTTTTTTTAACTTGCACCATTCATTTTTCATATGAGACTATATATTCCCCTGCATGAGAATTCTTCTGAGTTCACTAGCGATTCCTTGCAACAAAACCGGTTTTCGGATTACTCCATTTACGCCAATCTGCATACATCTTTCCCAGAGATCTTCTTCTGCGCTTGCTGTTAATGCGATAATCATAGGCCTGTTTCCGCTTTTGAACTTCCGGATCCTTGCGGCGACTTCGAAGCCGTCTATGTCAGGCATTTGGAGATCTAAGAGAATGACTTGGATGGAAGATCCGACGGGGCCGATGAGAGTGAGGCATTCGAATCCTGTAGAAGCGGAAGTGACGGAACAGCCGAGTTTTTGAAGCAGTTTCTGTGTGACTGCTCTATTTACATCGTCGTTGTCAACTAATAGAACTTGCAGACCTCTCAGCATTGAATTGGAATACGTGCGTTCTGAGGATTCGCCGGGTTCGGAGATGGCTATTGCAATGGACGGTCGTAGTTGAAACCGGAGAAGAAGTGTCATGCTTTGAGGAATGCCATGAGTGTATGGTACCAACCATAAGTTCCCTTGCATCAACTGCAATTAACATAGTAAACAGAAATTAAATAATCAAATCAAGGCAAGAATACGCTTTAACACAAATTACTCAGTTGGTTAAGCGTATTCAACGAGACGAGTTTTGCTCTTATGAATAAGAGAATTGGAAAATGGGATTATAAATCAAGTCATAGGTCGGTAAAGCATGTTTCTTCAATGAAAACTTAATACAGATTTTGAAACATATTCCACAGTATTCAAGGAAGACACACAAGTAAGACATAACGAAAATTTTCAAAAGAACCAAATTCAGTTATTTATGCACAAGCAATGAAAAGTATGTGCAAACATTTATTCCTTAACACTGAAGAAATGTGCATGACTAAGAGTCAAGATGCGAAAGAACGCTATGATGTGAATGCGTATAACAAACTATATGTAACTCACCTGGACTATCCTCTTGCAAATACTAAAGCTCAATCTGCCCTCATACCTATCACTGGTATATGTCCTACCACCGGGTCCCGAGGAAACTGAGCTCCCAACTTCAGAATCGCTACTGGTGGTGATCCCTATCTCAAATCTAATATTTACATCTCCACTAGATGAGCTTGGTCTCCAGGTTGTCCACCCTTTCTCATTCCTCCCTTGACTTCCAGCATCTGCCGAAACCCGGAATACAAGGATCCCTCCTTCTCCATGGTTGCAATCCAGTAGATTCCCAACCATATGCAAAATCACCTGGAAAACTCTCCTCTCATCACCCATAACATTGTTTGGTAAAGACTTATCAACCTCAACGATAAAACCCAAGCCCTTATAAACACACATGCATTTAGCAAGGCAAGCTGCTTCTTTTATCATGGAATGTAGCCCGAAAGACCTTATCTCCAAAGGAAATCTTCCATCATCCTTTGCAGAGCTGTCCATGGCATCGTTTATCAAGTTTGATAGCACATTGCTTGTCCTTAGCATTGCGTCCACAATAAGTTTCTGTTCATTCTTTAAACTATCGTCTTGTATCATTGAAAGCAAACCCAAAATTGAGTGCATAGGTTTCCTCATACCATCGCTCATGACTTTCTGAAATGAATTTCTTGCCTGGCTTGCCATCATTGCATTCCTTCTCGCCTGTTGCAAAGCTCGATTGCGTTCCTCCAATTTCTCTCTCATAAGTTGAGACTCTTCAAGAATCGCAGCATGGGATAGAGCTACAGCAACTTGATCAGCAACCACCTTAATTATCTCCAGCTCCTGATTGCTCCAAGATCTAGGCTCTCCAGCCGGAAGAATCAAGACCAGTATTGCATAACACGCCTGAGTTAGTTCAGGTGTTCCTCCTTTGAAATTACAAACACGTAACATTGGCATTCGGATTGCAGCAACCGGTCCTGCATCACCAGAAACCACACAACTGGAAACAGCAAGCGCCGAGTCAGAGCTAAGTATATTCACTACACTGCTTCCCTTAATCTTTACAACATCGAGATCAGTAATCGGTATAGAAATATTCAAATTCCTTCCGTTCAATTCATGAGTGAGATTCATCACTGTCTTTTCTTCATTAGGCATCCACACAGCGCAATTCTGCAGGCCTAGAGTTTTAGAAAGCTCCACCAATGTGGTATACAGAATCGTATGTCTATCGAGTGACTTGCGAATCTCTTGAGTAAGCATTCTTACATGCACCGCCGCCTCCTGTTGCTTCATAATAAGACCAACCTCCCGTCCAAGATCCCATGTCTTTTTCTTGAGCATGAATTCCCTGACCTTAACTTTGAGAAGTAAAGGAATCAAAGTGACAAGTGTTATCGCGGTAGCACAAGACACCAACGCAGTGAGAATCTTAAAGATAGTAAGTGCCACCATAAGCTGAAAAGTGTGAGGACCATAAGTCCAACCGTTCAACAAATGTGTCAATCCACATAGTACTATGAAGGCAATGAACTGAACAAGGACCCATTTGAAAGGGACGTTTGAGCAACTGACAAAATAAAGCAGTTCAATCGGGATCGAGAAGTAGGCCACAGCAATCAAGAAATCACCAACTCTTTGACACTCCAAAATGCTCTCAATAGTCCACAAACTCGCTTCATCGTCGCAATTACATCTCGGAAATCCATTATCCGTCGCAGATACACACAACACAATAGAAGTAATCAACAGCACAGATACTATTGCTTTTACCATTGATCCAATATGCTGCTGATGCCTGATTCTTCAATCCATATAAAACTATATATAAACTATTAGGTCATAGCCATACCCCAGAATAACAACTATGTTACACAAAAACAAGAAAAGTCTTAATCAATTTCTGCCAGTCGTGCCCTGTCAACTGTTCAAAAACAAAATTGAAAATTCAGTAAGATCCAAAAATTCAACAAGAAACCAATCCTAAACAAAAATCTAATATTTCATGACCTAAAACTAAACTATTCCAATCTTATAATTTAAGATAACCTTGATTCAGTCAACATAGGCCTAGGGTATAGAGTGGAACAAATCAATGAATAAGACAGTACCAACCGATGCAGAGGATATAACCTTAACCACCATCAACAAACATAACATAGAATAAAAAAAAATCAAGAAAATCCAAGATATAGTAAACCTGAGGCAAAGCAAATCCAAAAAACAATATTAAAAAAATCAAAGTCCAACAAATTCTAAGTTTAATAATCCTTAATCCCCCACCTAAACAAAAACTAAAGAATAAAAGAAAATCCAGTAATGCAGACCAAAAAATAAACAGTACCTGAAAAATTAAAGGCAACAAGATATTCCAGCTTCATCAGATCTTTGTTCAAAATGCATTATGAAGTATGAACACCACATTAACAAAATCTCCTCTTTCACTTTCTTCAGCATCAAATCAAAACACCCCAATGGAAAAGTCCATTACTTTATAATCAACAAACTTGAAAAGAGTGCACCCACCTTGTGGTCATTGGAAAAGAAGAAGTCGAAGAGGCACTAAATTTGAATAGATGAATTAAAAAAAAAGGAAGCATTTTTACTGTTGAAAAGATTCCGCGGCACGAAACCGGGTGCGACCCTTTGTTGGAAATAGCTCCATGAGGTTGATTTTGGTAGGAAACAAACAAAATGATGATGATGAAAAATCTAAGTGAGGTAGATGATGGGAAAATGGAGTGTTGGTGTGGTTTTTGTTTTGGAACACAGAGAGAGAGAGAGAATCTTTAAGGATTTTTGAGGAATTAGCGTTTGTGTTTTTTCCAATGGCAGAGGGAGAAAAAAACCACGTAGAGAGAGAGAGAGAGAGAGAGAGAGAGAGAGAGAGAGAGAGAGAGAGAGAGAGAGAGGACGCCGTTGTTTCGTGGGAGAGAGGAGAAAAGGGTGAGTTGTATTTAGAAAGAGAGGAGAGAGGAGAGAGAAAGAGAGAAAGACAGAGGCTGGGACCCACTTTCTTACATGAAGAGAACTTGGACGCCCTTGTGTTTTTTGTTTTGGATATTTTATTACAAGTCTCCTTTCTTTTCAGTTTCCCTCTTTGTGTCTATGCGTTTTCATAATTAATTAATGTTCATCATATAATTTGTGTACATAACTAGTAATTATGTTTTATAATAATCCTTTTTTATTTTTAATATTTTAAATGTATCTTTGGATCCTCTCTTTTATGGGATGACAAACCATCGTGTCTGTCCCATAAAATATTTGGACTATAATTTTCAATATAACGTTTTTATTTTGATAAACACTTTCGTACTCTTATATCTTTTCTTGAAATTAGAATTAGTCTATAATAAAATGACGTGGTATAAATAGTAAGACTAACAATTCAATCTCTAAATCAGTTTAAAATTTAAAATAAATATAATAAAAAATAGAAATAAATATATCTTGAATTTCACGTTAGTTTTCTTTAAATGTTGAATTATTTTAATTAAATTTATATATGATTTGGCTTTTACAATAATATTCAAATTCATATTATATTCTATTATATTATTTTAAATTTATTTACCTTGAAATTACCTATACCAACAAATCTAACGGATTTTACAAATTTTGTCTTTTATTTTTAGGATAGTCATAAATGTTAAGCATGTATGTTAGTATGTATTTAAAAATAAATTTAAAATTAAATATATTTTTTATCTCTATAAAATATGAAATTTAACTTTTAATTTCTATAAAAAAATTATGTTTTAACTTTTATAAATTATTTATGTATGTAGTTTTAATTTTGTAGAAAGACTAAAATATCATGCATAAATAATTTTATAGAAATTAAAACGTGATATTATTTTTTATAGAGACTAAAAATAAAATTAAAACTATTTATAAAAATTAAAAATAAATTTAACTCAAAATCTAACAAATAAAAAAATAATTTATAAATATAAAAAAATCTGAAAACATCTGTTCAATGTTCTATTCTCGTGTCAGAAGCATGACTTGTTTCTCATCAGTTTTATCTTTCTAAAATTAAGATTAACTAGTATTTTTCTTAAGGTGGTATGTTATTCCAGCAAGTCAAGTCTATGGATAGTGGTAACTGTATGTACATTGTATCTTTTTGGTATGTCTTCTTGCTAATTCAGGAGCGCACACAGAATTAGTCTTGTGATATGCATTGCTGGTATCAAATAAGGCCAACTTATATCTAAAATCCTGCTATATTGGTGAGTAAGACACATACCCTAATAATGTCATCAAAACAAATGGCCTTCTACTTCCTTGGTCCCAATATATAAGATAAAATAAATACTGGTAATAACTATTTTTATTTATGGAAGATACCATTTTCATTTGTATGATTAGTAAACTCATTTTAAATTTAAAGGTCTAATTAAAAACTATTTATTGATAGACTTGAAGTAAGAGTTTGATCTCCATTATTTTTTTGAGTGGTCTTCATACTAAGACACTTGAAAAAACAAAATTTAATACAAAATATTAAAATATTGTATACTCTTTTCTAACCTCTCTTGTTTAGAAATCACTACCAAATTTGTTACAATATTATCAAATATTTATTTTTTTAATTGATCAAACACCAATTTAAATCTTAAAAAATTATATTAAAATATGTTATTTTCACGTGGCTATATCGAGTTTATGAGTTAATAATACTAATAGTAAAAATATATGATTATTTTATGTTAAAAAAATAAAATATCACACATCAGTTAAATATGAAGACTTTAATTGAATGTGAATTTAACCATTAATATTTAACAAAAAATTATGAAGGAGTTTTTTATTAGAAAAAATATAAAGACTATAGGAAAAATATAAAGACTATATAGATTATTATTAAATTAAAATAATAATTAAATTAAAGAATACGCTTTAGATTATTATTAAATTAAAAATAATAATTAAAATTTAAACACAATTTACTTAAGTAATCTTTTCTCTTTCTTTTTTTTTCTTTTTTTCTCACTATCACTATTTGTTACTTTGGACTTTAATAAGAGGTATTTATTTAACTTTTCATTAAAAAAAAGTCTTTTAAATCTTTGCTAGGTGAGACTTAAAGCCCTTGCTTTAGTAGCCTCACCATTGTGTTGGTCCTAAGTTATAAGGCTTTTAAACCATGGACACATATAACGAACAAATTTGATTCAAATATACGCTATAATAAATCTTAAATCTTACACTCATTATTTTTCTTACTTAAATGTCAAATTGTTTGGAGGTACACTTCTCATCTCTAAGAGCAAGAGACAATGATTGTCGTCAATACGTCTGTCTTTATCTAGATCTTTTGGATTTCTTCAGAATATTTGGTTCTTCTGAAAAATGGTACTCAAGATATCTGTAAGAAATTGTATGGAGTTGTTAGTGAAGATGGAGATACCAAAAATATTGATGATAAACTATTCAAGGTACCTCAAATAGGGAAAATGTAAACAGCAATAAGGAAGAAAATCAAGAGATTGAAAAAAAGCATATCTTAAGAAATCAGTGAAGATGAGAGTATTAGAAACAACAAGGAAGATGAGATAGGAGGTAGTGAAGAGGCAAGTGTAGGATTTAATGATGATGATGTTAGCAAAGATATCAATGACATTGGAGATGTCATTGAGCTTGATGATGTGGTTATGAGTTAGGAAGCTACAAATAATACAAATGACAAGGTATAAGTCATTATGGAATCTGAAAAGAATGTTGTTGAAGATGACCAGAACAATGTCAAGAATAATGTCAACAACAATACAAAAAGTGTTGTTGAATATGAAGAAATTTCCAATGAAGATCACCAAGAAAATGTTAGTTAAGATGTCACTAACAAAGATAATGTCATTGAGTAAAATGAGGGTGTTAGTGAAGAAATGAATAAGCATGTTGATCATATTGTTAAAGAAGTAATTATTGTGTACAAAACACCTAGAAAGCCTAAGAAGACTGCTAAAAGGAATGTGTTTATTATTAAATCCAAAAGGTAAGAAATCCTCTAAAAAGAAAGTTGAGACAAACTGGAAGAAGTGAAACTCTGGGTAAAAGTCTATTGTATTTGGTGAGAAGAACAAGAATTCTATTGAGAAAAAGAAGAAAGTTGTTGCATAGAAAAAGTCGATTGTGGAAAAGAAAAGTGTTGCAGTAAAAAGAAAGAAAGCTTTTGTTCGCCCTGAGAAGCACAATGTTGAAGATGGTAGTGATAATATGTTGGAATATATTATAGAGGAACCTGTTGCGAAAAGAATAAAAAGGTGGTTGGTGGTAAGAAACTGCCTTAAATTATCCATGTTGTTCCTTTGGATAAAGTCTCTTTTTACTCTAAAGAGAGAGTTTCATAATAGATTTTTTCCATCAAAGAATAACTCCTAAAGATAAATTTTTGATGGTGCTAAGAAGTGCAACGATATCATGGAACTTTTCAATGATGCTCAAGTTATGAAAGCAGGGATGAACGTTGATCCCTTTTATCCTAAAGTAGTGAAAAAAGATCATTATTAACCTACCTAAAATGTTTAATGATGTTAGGAGCAGTGATGAAACTATAAACATATACACAAGTTGTTCATCATCTTCAACCTCTCATCTATGCATACATACAAACAAAGTACACATAATCATTCATTGTTTAGGTGTCATCTAGACTTGTGTTGATAACGTTCAAAAGGTTGATGTAACATAAGATTGAGTTGATAATTTTTGGGGGTTTCATCAAAAAACTGTGAGAGTTTTCCTTCACGATCATAGTGTTGATTTGAGGGCTTTGACAAGATTTTGCAATTCGGATTCTATCGAATGAAGAGCTTTGAAAAACAAGAGGTTTTTGCAACAGAGTAGCGTGAGACGGTGAATCGATTGGAAGTCTTGGGTGACAATAATTTGCAATTTGGATTCGACCGAGTGAAGGCTTTAAAGAACTGTTGTTCTTGTAAAAAAGTAGTGCAAGACGGGCAATCATATTAGTCTTATTGGGCGACTTGATCAAACTCATATTAGGGTAAGAGAAAGTGCTAGAATCAACATCAAACATAGGTTTTGTAGGGTTGGATTGCTAAATTTATCATGTAAATGGTTTTTTGAATAGTAATAATTCTTATCTCAATTCCAAATGGAATTAGGGAGAAGACGTAGCCATAGCAAGGATGATTGGTGAACTACCTAAACAAATCCTTGTATCAATAAAATAAAATCAAAAGAAACACAACAACATCATCAGCTACTCATTCTAGGCTACAAACTCTTCTTCGGTTAAGATTGCATCAATAGGTATTAATCTTGCACACTAAGGATATCGTAGGAACACTAATCTTGTCTCTTGAATATGCAAACCAATTCGAATCATATTATTATGCCAAAGCCTAACTTACTCATCCTCCTTTTTGCTCTTTTTCATTCAGGCGCAATTACATTAAGCCCGTTATCTCCACACACTCATAGCAAGGCGACCGGTTAGTGACTCTGATCCTTTTTTCACGGGGTTCTGGTACTTACGTGGCATAACCCTTTGCTTACTCGGTTGTAGTTGCGGGGGATCAGACCATAATCCGCCCTACCAAGTTCAGCACCAGAAACTGCTGAACCAACTAACAACGAGTCTTATTATCAACTTTTTTTGTAGGTTCTATGACCGTTGGGTTAAGTGACCGGGTGAGGGTCACCAAACTTAGAAGGCGTATTCCTTTTTCAAATAAAACTTGAATCACTCACTTATTTTCATCGGGTTCCCTACGTAGAGTGCGTGTGAGATGGTGCTGACTGCTGAAATAAACTACTCAAGAGCTATTAAAAGATGAGAATTCAAGGCTACGTCATAATAAAAATTCAAATTAACTTCCATATGCATGAGACTTACAGTGTTAAGATGATACCGATCTTGTGAACTTTTCCCAAGTCTCCACAACTAACCTCATATTAATCTATAGCCCAAAACTTTCAAAAAGACGCATATTTTTTTTATAACTGAAAATAAAACAACGAACAAAAGCAAAGAAAACAAAACAAATAAATAATTCTCTCCC